CCCCAGGCCCTCCTCCTGAGCCTGATCCCTTTGTCTTTAAGAGTTCTTAGAGTTCATTTCTCAAAGACAACTCCCCACTCTGAGAATCTGATAATAAACAGACAAGAATTTCACTAACATTCCAAAGACACATGAGTTAGGAATACAGACATTAAAATGAAATCCACCCCCCTTCTCTAAGATTAGGGCCACTGCTGCTCCAGGCTGATGGTGGCCATACGTGCTGAGGAAAATAAGAACACTTTCTACTTCACCTTTCTATGTCTTCATCCCTTTACCTCTGCCTTTTTCATCCCACAACAGTCTATCTTCTGAGAACAGTGGGGTGAGAACTCACTCATTCTGAGCAACACTTTCTCTTCCGAAATGACTGTTTTCCTACCTTCACTCTTCATTTCTGTGAACGCACTTTGTAACCCTAACAGTTTGACTTCCATCTGCATCTTTACTTCCTCCCAACTAACTACCTTTCCACACTTATTAAAAAAATTAAGTTTGCCACAATATCCAACTATAGCTTAAGTCAAAGAACTCTCCTCATCTGTCTGGAGAGAAGCTTTGGTGACTTACTCTCTTATTGTCATCCTCCCAGTGTTCTCCACTGTTCCACACAACTCTTCCTCCAAATATACTTTAACCAATGAATTTTAAATAACTATTCATCGTGAATTCTGAGGAGCAAGGTCTGTGTGGGAAAAGTACATCCCTCCAGCAATGATAATCTGTCCCCTCTTTGACAAGTATTGTATGTAGCCACCTACCCTCCAGCAACCAGTTCTCACTGCTGCCCAGCTGTCTATCATAGAGACCCACTTCCTTTTCTATGAATGTTCTACTCGCTGAAAAGCCCACGTTTTAGCTATTTCCCTTTCCACCTATCAAAACTTACCAATTCTGTGGTCATTTTTACTTCAACTAGAGATTCCCCTATAAAGGGCTGTGATAAACTCGACCTAGAAAATGCTAATAATTAATAGCCATTTCATGGATTTACTTTCCCAGAGGGACTTCATTTTAATAAGGACTTCTAAAGACCTCTGTTAAGAAAATCAAGAAATCAAAAAGCCACGTTAGCACAAAGTACTAGGCTTGAGTGGCATATGTTGTCTGTGTTTAACACGAGCCTTGTTGGGAAGACCAAATTGGTAACAGGAGGGTAAAAGGGGTCTCACATTACAGATCACACAGCCACGAATCTCCAGTCTGGAAGCACAATGGAATCTCCAGCTCCCAGCGGAGAAAAGTGACACCCAAAGAAGCAACTTTCAAAGTCAGGACAAAGCTGAGCCTAACACCCAGGTCTTACGCTGTGTCAGATATACAGGAATAACATGCTACAAGTATAAAGATACATGTAAGAATAACAAATACCTACTTGGGATAATGGTACCTTTTGGCAGATGATGAGGGAATGCACTTGGGAACAGATATAATTAAAGGGTTTCAACTGCATTGGTAATATTTTATTCCTGATTCTGGGGAGTGATGCATAAGCATTTATTAAATTACTGGGTTGGCCAAAAAGTTGATTAGGTTTTTTTCTGTAAAATGGCTCTGGTAGTACTTAGTTGTCTTTAACTTCATTCAAAACAATTTTATTAGACTGTCTGTGGCAGCTGTCATATCAGCATGCCTTTCTGAAAAAACTTACCAAATTGGTGAATTTGGGGGCAGCCATTTTAATACTGAAGATGGAAGAAAATATATGCAACATTTTGGGCATATTTTGCTTTATTATTTTAAGAAAGGTAAAAATGCAACTGCAATGCAAAAAAAAAGATTCGTGGGTTGCATGACACTCCACAATTGGGCAGACATGAGTTCAGCACAATCAATGTTATATCATACAGGAAATAACCAACATACTCCAAAAGTCCTAATCAATAAAGGTATTGGTAAAAATGAAAAATGTGTCTTTTACTTTACAGGCAAAAACCATATGGATTTTTTGGCCAACCCAATAGTTGCCATTCTCTTTGGGATAGCTAAAATTTTATTTAAAAAAAAAATATAACCATGGCATACATACTCAAATAAATATCATATTAAGAATTTAGAGAAATATCGTAAGTTAGAAAGTACTCAAGAGTAAAACATATATTACTAATAAAAAATAAAACAAATTTTTCTAAAGGAAAAGTATGACCAAAGGCAAAGTTGGGGGTACCCACAGCCTACAACCTAAATAAAGAACAACAGGGAAACTTCAGGACAGATTCTTCTCAGACAATAGTAATAGAAGGCTGGGATTAAGGCTGAGATTAAGTGCTGGGAGCCCTGGGAACTAAACTGACTAGTGTGCCCCAACCCATCCCCCCACCAAAAACAAAGGAGTAAGCATGACTATAGTGCTGTTTTAGCAAAATAAATCAGAAGCCATGTGCAGGAAGAACTAAAGCAAACATGACCCATAATGAGATTCTGCAGGGCAGCAAAAGGGGAACAGAATGAGGTAAGGTGCTAGGAACCAGGTTCTGCTACCTTGCCTCACTTCCAACAGAATCCTTCTGTGTGAAGGTTTTAGAAAACCACTGAACGACAGTGCCCAGTTGAAAGGCACCACTATGTGAGGGTCATAAAACCCTGCGATAGGGTATTAGTATTGGGAATCAAAAGAGGGGAAATGAATCTACAGACTTTTTGATGGAAAATTTGATAGACTCTAATGACAAACTAGATAATAAAAGAGTGGATCTACAATACATGAAGAAATTAAAAATGCTAACACATCAGCAGCTGCGGGTCATGCAGCTTTGAGCACCAGCAACATAAATGTGACCATGTATGTAAAAATGTCTGAGCCCTAAGGAAGTGCTACTCAAGGGAGAAAAGCAAAGTGGCAGTTTTATAGGAATTAAGAAGAAGAAGAAGAAGAAGAAAAAGCAAGCAAAAGAGACCAGGCCACCACATCACAAATGCTAAGAAAGCAAGCAAGACTTTCAAAAAGAGGCATCACTGTACACAGTGTAAGAGGGTACACAACCTTTGTAGCAGATCAGACCCAGGGTTCAGGCACCTCCTCCACTTCACCAAGTTATTTAACCTCTCTGAGCTTCAATTAATAAGGAAAAACTAGACTAACGTTGTTGAATACATTATAGAGCACTTAAGCTAAGTGCTTCATCTATAACCTCACAGCACATTTTACAGATGTAGACATGATATTTACAACTAGCATAGTAAATTGCAGAACCAAGATTCCAATTCCTTAGGACAATTAATGAAGGAATGCACCAGTATATATACCAGCAAACAGTATGACCTCAAAAGTGTAGCTGTATTTCATTATTAGAAGGTAATAATTAACAGAGACAATACAAAAACTCACCATCAGTTATCCCCTCCCATAGCCTTCAATGGGACAAACTCCTAGTGGCCACACTATTAATGCCTGTAATCTAACCTCTCAGTAGGGTTGCTATAAGGATTAAATGGTGTTATGAAAATAAAAATGCTGTGGAAAAAAACCGTAAGAGATATTCAGATATATGGGATTGTCACATATCTTTTGCTCCTTAGAAATGCCTTCTGGATTAACATTGTCTCTCTGAAGAGACCTAAAAATAAGCCTGTTAAACAGGCAACCACTGTTTTAAAAAGTGTAAGTCACCATGAAATGGTGATATATGCCACCCACACCTAGCTCTGACCCCTCCAGGTTCTCTAATGTCCCTGCAAGGGCAGGGGCTCTCTTACACCTATAAGGAAACTCTGATCATTTAGAATACAACTAATCAGTAGGGAGAGCTATCACCTCAGAGTCGTTCAAGTTGGCCTTATGGTACTTGTTCAGAGGTGCCCCTTACAGTCCTTCCAAAACAAAAAATGGGAAAAAAATATTTCCAATTTTCTATAATATTAAAACTGGATGCCTATTCAATACTAGAATTCAGTTAGTTTACAAAACGCCAGAAAAGAATCTATCAAGTGCTCTGTCTGATAGGAAGTCTCCTTTGGAAGCCCATCCACAACCCCCCTTTCACACCTGAACAGATGGTTTCCAATCCTCAAGCCTCCCTATTCACAATGGGGCACAAAGTTCATACCTTTTTAATTATTTCATGTTCTTGAATACACCACCTTTCATCTAAAGATCTCTAGGTATCAAAACACAAACCCTTTAATCTTCATAAGAGCACTATCTTGGGGAGAAATTATACTCTTATTTGATTAACTAAAACTATGACTGAAGTTAAATATGTTATCCAACATCAGTTAATTGACTGGTTTCACTCTTGGGGGAAAATGCACATTATGAACTTAAATCAATGGATAGCCTCGACTTAGTTTCCTAAGACCATTTTAAATATATAAGCTCAAATGTATCTACTGTGTACTCTTAAACTTCCAATATACTGAAGATTAAACTTGAACTAATAGTAAATACCAAACCATCGTTTTTTACATGCTTGAAAAAAAACTATATGGGAGACGGGTTCTAATTTAGGACTTCTGTCTTGCATCCATAAATACTTTTAAACTTAGGGGTTGGGAAGGAACACCTGTCAGTGCAGCATATACACGATAAGTTTCACAGACTGTGTAGCTATTAATATTTAATTCCTTAAACTGTAAATAAACAATGCGCCCTCTCAAAAAAAAAGGCAATAGTGTAAAAAACATTTAATAAGAAAGGTTACACAACTGTGAGAAGCCTAATAATTTCCTAGTTTTATGTCTCCCTAGCTTCGTGAACTTGCCACGAGGGAAAACTGTGCCCGCCTCTGGAGTGCCGCCGCGGGGCGCCCAGCGCTGCCCACCGACTTCCCACGCGCGCCACGCCAGGCCGGCGGGTCAGGCGAAGCTCCGCCTCCCAGCGAGCCCCCCAGCAAGACCGACAGACGTGGCCCCGCACCTCTGACTTGCCTCCGGAACTCCGGCGCGCCCGGCCCAGGACCCCGCAGTCGGACAGGGTGTCAAGGTCCGGCCAGGCCTAGTGGCCCCCGCCCAGAGGCCGCGGGCACCGCCTCCTCCCGCACCCCGCTCCCTGCATTCGTTACCTCTTAGGCGCTGGCGGCTGCTCCATGGCGGCTGGGGGCAGAAGGAAGGACCTGGTGATCGGTGAAGCGCGGAGGGAGGAAAGGATCCGGGGCGCCGGCCGGCCCAGCCCCGGGAACCACAGAGAAACTCCAGGAACTCGGAACAACTTTCCCGTAACTCCACGGCGGATCCCCCTCCCGCTCCAGGGAGAAGCTCCTCCCGGCCCGCCCCGCCCCTGGGCCGCCCAAAGCGGTCCTGGATGGGTGGGTGGAGTCAGGCGCTGGGTAGCGTGGGCGGAGCCGGCCGCGGTCCAGTGGTGGTGGGCGGAGCCAGGCTCTGGGTGGGGTGGGCGGAGTCGGGGGTCGAGGGAGAGGTCGGCATTAGAATAGGGAGCAAGTAAGAAGAAATGGGGACTGGAAGGACAGGGTGAGGCCTAGTCAGGACCCACAGCCTCCTTATGCTAGCGAGGGGTACTTTCCTTTAAAGTGGTGCTCCTCACTTGCCTTTATCATTTTTTGCTCCAGTCCGATTTGATTCATTTATCTGAATTTCCCAAGGATGTCTCCCAAACATCTTGTGCAGGCGTTTGAAGTACTGCTAATTGCCCACGCTTCCCTCTCTAGGTCTGCTTATAATTATTGGTTATGTCTTCCCCAGCCATTTGACATTTGTAGCTACAGTACTAGGGATGCTTCTGGAAATTCTTGTTTGATTTTGATTGTGGTCAAACTCCTCACCACATTTCACAATAATTATGTCCAATTATAAAGAAAGTAATGATTGCAGTGACATCACACAATGCACAGGATTCAGCGCACTGTGGACTTGCTGTCTGTGCAAGTGGGTAACCTGGAAAACTAGACAAATTATGGTGCACAGAAAAGTACTCAAGAAATGTTTCCTTCCCTCTTGCCACCCTCTCTCCCCAACCTGTTCCTAAGGCTCTTACCCCATTGTAACTTGAACCTTTCATGCATCCTTATAGTATGTATACCATTAATCTTAAATTCTGTCTACAGATATCTTTCTTGTGAACATATAGAGCTATGTAGTGACTTTACCTTTGACAGAAATTGTCAAGATGTAGTGTCATATAGGGTTTTGGAGTCTAGAACAAAGGGTATGAAAAGAATGTTCTATAAAGGAACCTTATTAATGTTAACCCAAATTAAACTTGCCTAGTAACAGTTTTTCTTTTGTATTATTTTCAGTTTCATTATGTAATAAACTTATATTATTTATCTTCAAGCAATTATATTACCCCCTAAATTTAATAATTTGAAATTTGTAAAGACCATTTATTGCTGGAATCTAAAGCCACATTCTGTGAATAAGAAAGATTATACAGAATTTTGTATTCATTTGTATTTCTTAAGGATCCAAGTCTAACAGTTCAGAAGTAACAAGCTAAAGCAATAAACTGTTAAAACTAGGAAAAGCCTTTGAAATTATTTCATCCTATCTATCTCTTACTCTCATTCTTACTTCTATACCTTAGTCCCATCATCTTATATTTCACTAGAAAAATCTCTTTAAGGAAAGATCATTTCATCCTTTAAAAAATTATTACATTTTAAAATAGGCTCAAATTGTCATACTTTAAAATGGACTCTGAATTATGTTACCAACCTTAATCTCAAGGACGCCTTTCCCAGTCAAACGACCAATACCACCAACCTATGACCTCGGACATTTTTGTGAAAGAGACACCTCTCTTATATGTGCCCATAACACACTGTGCTGGCATTTGTAAGACACTCACCACACTACATTTAAGTTCTGTTCACTTGACTAATATTCCAAACCAACTGAGAGTCTGTTGAGAGCTGGACTATGCCTTTATTCTCTCTATCCCTTGCATAGCAAATGCCTTATGTATAGTAGGGGCACTGGGTTGGATAGCTTCCTTTTACTGCCCCAGAGTCATTCTCCATCCTTCTCCATCTGCTTTATGCCCCGGAGGCTGACATCATTGAGCTCCCAGCCCACTGATGAGCTTGGGTCTGATGATAGGGAGACCCAGCAAGAGACCATCTGAGGGAGAAAGGAGTATAAGATCATGCTATTTATTCCCCTGATTTCCTTCCAGTGAGGTTGCTAGGGCCCAACTCTCCTTTCTTCCCCTCATCCCTTTGGGCCTAGGGATGGTGACTGCTCTGCTATTCTATGGATTCCTTCTCCATTCCTGATGTTCCCCAAGACCTCAACCCTCCTCAGATGACCCTGCCTTCAAAAGGGTTTCCTCTGGAACCCTGACTGAGATACCCATAAAGGAGGTGTGGGGAAGGGGGAATAACATTAGGATAATCTCCAAGGTCTCCCCTCAATATGAAAGAGGGCTAACAATTGCTGTGTGACTCCAATAAGATCAGACACTTGGCTTACATTAAACCCCTAAAAGTGCCTTGTTAGGTCGTTATTGCCACTTTATAGAAGAGGAAACTGAAGTTTAAAAGGCATCATCCCAATTCACCAAGGTTGTAAGTTCAGTCTTGGGTCAGGGCACATACAAGAAGCAACCAGTGAATACATAAATAAGTGGAACAACAAATCTCTCCCCTACCCCCTTCCCTTCTTTCAAAAATAAATAAATACTATTAAAAAGATATTTTTAAAGCAACTGAGGTTTGAATGGGTAAAGGCAGTTACCCTAGGCCAAACAGAAAAATCAGTGCACTAACCCAGCCTTTGTAACTCCAAAGCCAAGCCTTATCTCAAAGTAAATTAGTCAATAAGTATTTACTAAGCATTTATGTATGCCCAGCACTGTTCTGGGTGCTGAGAATCCATCAGTAAAGAAAATAAGACACGTAGACAAAAATGTGTGCCCTCATGAAGTTTACATTCTGATTGGGGAAGCATAATGAGTAACTAATCAATAATGTTAGGAACCGAAAACTAGTAAGAAAGTAAATAAAATATGAAAAGGAAATATAAAGTGGACAGGGAGGGATGACATTTAGATTGTGTGGCCTTGGTGAAAGCGTGACGAGGGCAGCTGTGGAGAAAGCCTCGCAGTTTGCTTTGGGAAGAGAACTGTGAGGCCGAGGGAACCTTAAGTGCTAGGGTCCCAAGGCCAGTGTGCCTGGCTTGCCATGTCTTACCAAATAAAAAGAATTGTTTTCCTCTTAAATGGGGAAGAGAAAAGTCTCAAGTCTCTGTTTTAATTTGTTTTGGGGAAGCATCCTGAAGATTCCAAAACAGAAAGCGTGGAAATCATCATTCAACCTTCCAAGAAAAGGCAGCAGCATTCGTGAACAAATATGAGCTGTAGGAAAATGTGAGATTCAGATAAAGGTCACTCAGTTTCACTTAACTGTGAAGTAGGATAATCTGTTTCTGCTTCCAGCCATTCCAATTGGAAGCAGGATTAAGTATCGCTTTACACTAGCAAACAGCTCACCAGAATTCTCAATGGGCATGCTCAAGAGAAATGTGAGAGAAATCTGCAATTTGGGCCCCATTTTCTTTTCAAGAACAAACGTGCAATTGCTGAACTGAATGCATACAGCACCATGTTGTATGGGGAGAAAAACATTAAGATTAAAAAATGTTCATTTGGGGTTTTTGTTGTTGCTGCTAGTTGCTGCTGTTTACTGAAACTACTTTTTTTTTCATTTTTATATTTGAAAAATAATACTAATTAAAAACTGTCAATTTTTTCTACTATTACCAGGAAGAGTTTGGAACAAAGAGAAAGCTCTGGGTCAGATATATTGCACTATGCAACTTTTATTTGCAAGGAAATTCCGAAGTGTTTCCCTTCAAGAGGTGACTTCACACAGCATTTTCTCTTGATCTATTTCTCTTCTCTTACTTAATTTTACAGTTAACCTGGAACTACTATGTTGCGTTCGAATTCAACTACTGTCCTCTTCTATCATAGCAATATTGAACTTTTATCTTAATTGTTTCTCTAACCAAACTGTAAGCCTCTTGGGAATAAGAACAGTATCTCAGTCATCTTTGTCGTCTCAAAAGTCTCATGTATCCATTAACTACATATAATAATTCAAAATTATTGTTAAAACAAGACGCCTAGAAGTCGTGCTGCTAGGTTTGGTTAATTCTCTGGTTTGTTGCACAGCAGTCAGGTACCTCCTTCCCCTCAATCAATGACCATTGATGTTCCAGGCATCGCATGGAGACATGACAATGCCCAGCAACAGAAGAGGGTTATTTATTTCTAAATAACACTGTTTAAGATGGCAGAAAAACCTATTCTGAAATTCCTGTTGCAGTCCATGCTTCACGTCCCATTGGCCAGCAGTATGTCACAGACCCACCTCTGAGAAAGGAAATGGTACCACAAAAAAACCCTGTTCGGGCCAATTGTAATTCACCCCCACAGAGCTGGGCTTGAAGCTCAGGCTGGTACCAGCCTTCCCTGCAGTTTATGGTCAGGAGAAGCATGAGAGAAGGGCAAAGTTAAGATCTATTATTAAGAAAGAATGGAGTGATTGTTATTATGCAACAGCCTATCATGTCTGCTAAGCATAAGCACCTAGAATGTTACAGTCACTGAATAAATGTTTGTTGAGCAAGTGAATGAATGGGTTAGCACATCCTCCCTATAGTCCAAGGTGTGGGTACAATCCCCCAACAGAGCACATACAAGAATCAACCAATGAATGCACAAATAAGTGGAACGACAAATCAATGTTTCTCTCCTTTCTTCTCTAAAATCAATAAATTAAAAAAATTTAGAGTCCCAACCAAGATGGAGGTGTAGGTAGAAATGCTTCGCTTCCTCACACAACCAAAAGCAAGATCACAACCAATTTAAGAACCATAAACAACCAGAACTGCCAGAATGTCAAACTGCATGGAACCCTGACAAACAAGGAGTTAGAGAAACATTCATCCAGACCAGTGAGAGGGGCGGAGACAGGCAGCCAGGTGGACAGGACTGGTGGCAAGGTAGTGGACCACATTGGGTAGGAGAGGCTGGCCGACCAGAAAATTAAAGACTCGAAACCTCTAGCTATAAAATACTGTGGGGATTGCAAAGGCAGGAGAAACTCCTAGTCTCACAGGAGAGTTCATTGGAAAGTGGGGCTAGGGTGGAGTCAGTGAGCAGCACTGTTCCCTCTCTGACCCCTCCCCCACACACAGCACCACAACGCAGCAAAGAGGGTTGCCCCACCCTGGCGGAATAGCTAAGGCTCTGCCCTCCTCTTACAACATAACAGGTGCGCAGAGACGAAGAAATATGGCCCAAATGAA